CTCCCGACTGCGCCGGCCCTGCGCGCCCCCCGCACCACCTGCCCCCGCGCGCCCCAGCAGCTGCCCCGGTGTCAATTCATCTGGTGCAGGAAAAAGAACAGATAAACTTAGAATTTAAAGTTATGAAAAAAAAATTGATGCAAAAAATTATCTGTAAGGTACCTTCATGTGTCTCAGGTGGCTGCGTGGCCTTCTCATAGATGGCCTGTCGCCACGTGGCGTCTGACTCGCTGCCCGGCTCAGCGTTGGCTGGTCGGGAATCGCTCACTTTCAGGAAACTGTACAAAGAATAAATTAATTGATGTGGGAGGTTGAAAAGCAATATAAAAATCATCAAGATAGTATTTCAGACTTACATATCCATCATAGGAGAGTTGACAGCATCGTTTTCGTCCCTCGACTCCTCCGGCTCCTCCTCCAGTGGTGGAGGAATCGAAGGAGATCCCGGTGGATCTGAAAAGGAGAAAACATGTTATTAAAAAAGAATGCTTACATACTTCAGAGTAAAGAAAAAAAAACGGCTTGAGCTAGAAAGTTACTACTAAAATTGTTTAGTGTTCGTTGTACCTCTATCGACGTGTACGGCGGGCGACATGGACTTGGACCTGACCTCAGGAAGGTGCAGCTCGCCGCCCCCCGGCTCAGAGCTCGTCTCCAGCGCCGCAGGGGGCGCCACCGGGACCTCCTGGTAATGCCCCAAAGGGAAACAAATGTTGGTGTTTTCATCCCTTTCTTTCACAATAACTCTTTCAACTTCCATTCTCCTACCTTCTTAACCGGTGTGACCACCAAACTGCTGTCGTCCCTGCTGGCCTTCCTCTTTAGCAAATGGTCAAAACCGCTGGAGAGGGAGCGCTTGGCCTTCATAAATATTGTACTACCTCCCAAATACTGGTTCAGGAACTCTGACCTATAACGAAATTTAAACAACAGAATTTATCAACCTGCCACAGACAGTCGCAACTAACCGTGTGCTAATATTGCTATCTCAATAGTTCTCAGAGAGAATGACAGAGATGACGATATTCCGTGTAGAGTGTGGGGCTACCTGTTCTCAGCGGTGTCGTGCACGTGGCGCTGCTGCTTGGCCTCGCAGTGCGCGCGCAGCAACATCATCAGGAAGGCGTTGTGCTCGCCCACCTGCAACACCACGAGATACTCTTCAACCAGAGGAATATGAGGATAAGTATGAGACGCAGCCGAAAGCAGCTGGCTATTTAATTAAAGGACTTTTAAACTTTTGCAATATGTGTCGCTGACCTCGTACATGTGGTTGGTGCCGCCCTGGTACTTGGTGACGATCAGGTCCTGCTCCTCCTCCGGCAGCTGCTCGATGCGACGTAAGATAAACGCGTGCGTCTTCTTCTCGTTCATGCCTACCAGAATATCAGGTTTTTAAGAAGGTCGGAAAAGCTTTTGAATTTTGGGTAATGGGATATATTTGTACCAGGACAACATAAGACAAGAGTAGGTCAAAACTTTATCTTGTACTATGTTACCTTCGATATCATGACAGAGGCGGTGGTACCACAGCAGCGGGCAGTGCTCGCACGTCATGTTGGGCGACTTCTCCCGCGACTTCTTCAGCAACTCCGCGTGCGCCACGAACGCCTGTCGAATTGCTAACAAACAAAACAAAATATGTAATTTTTTTAAACATTACAGTTTTTGTTTTATTATTTAAGAAAGGTCATAAGGCCTCACCTTTAATTTTAACTAAAGGGATTTTTGTATTACACTTTTCCACTTAATAACAATAATAAACAATAAACAAATACATAACGCAATACACCTTAAACGGAAATAAAAAATGAATTCAAATAGTTAAAACAACACAGAAAATGCGTCACAATGAACATAAGACTTGATTGAAATGAGAGGAAGCCGCCGTGCTCTCGATGGTAATTAACAATGCTGATTGTCAATTGACTTCTGCGCGACTTCTATAGAAAAATTATTGTCATACAACGCAGTACGTCACATATGTGCCGAAGATTTTATTTCAATATTTTTAAATTCTCATAAAACTAGTAACATGTCTGTTATACCATTGACAACTTCTGTGGCGATGGAGTCGCTCTCGCACTTGAAGACGTAGCAGGCGTAGGCGTCGCCGGCGTCGCGGCACACGAAGCCGAAGTGGTCGGTGCGCGCGCGGCCCAGCACGCAGCTGGCCACGTGCGCGAACGACCGCTGCAGCAGCACCTGCTTGCGGTCCGGGCTGATCAGGCGCAGCTCCGACCTGCCCACCTACACACACACTCATGCTTTCTAAAACCTAACCAATCCTGATCAAATGTCACCAAGCCATCCAACCGTTACCTGAAATAGCATAGTTCTGTTTTGCTCTCCGATTAAATGAGCCAGAGGTGTCTTTAAGTTCAATGTGCCGATAGAAGCAGACCTGTCCCGCAGGAACTGTTTGTTCTCCGGCATTGATCCTATCTTATCGTTATTTCTACTCAGTTTCAATTCTAAAGACTTATGCGTTTTAGAATCGTCTGATGTTGGAGTGTCTGGAATATTCTCTTTAGATTTAGTAGCCAAATCAGTTTTCTTCTCAGTTGTACTGTTTATTGGCATATTAAGTAAAGGATCATTTACGTCTTTGTTTTTCGTATCATCGGTCTCTTCGGAAATCTTTTTGTGAAACGGATTAGTGTCTTTAACATTGTCAGTTGTATCGGTATTAGAGTTTATAAAATTCGTCTGACAAAATTGCGTTATCGATGACGCAGTTTCAGATATAACTGATTGTATTTCTTCAGTCTTTTCCTCGTCTTCCGTCACTGTGCCCAAATTAGTGGGTACGTTTAGTACGAGAACAGTTGGCTCTAGAGGCGTTTGACTAGTTCTCCGAGTGGGAGTATTTTTTTCGACTCTTTCTTTGCTAAAATTATCAAATTCTTTGTCTATTTCGTTGCTTTCACTTTTAACCAGTTGATGATTTTTAGTTTGTTGTAAATTTTCAACGCTTTTCCAAACGTGATTTTTATCAGGCTCCAGCGGAGTTGTGCTTGTGATCAGATTGCTATTCCTGTTGTGTACATTTTCACCGACTACATCTGACTTTGTGTCTTCTTTTAAATTTTCTGACGAATTGCTATAGAGAGAAGTCTGAAAATTAAAATCAACAAAATAATTAATTTATTGAATTCTAAAAGAAGCCACTTTTTACAATTACATGTCTGTATACATACGCCGGTGGAAGATATAAGACTGTGCCGCCGCTGATTTTTAATTTTCTCAGCCTCGTGTTGCGCAAACTTGTGAAGGGCGTCATCTATCAAAGTTTCTGGAACTTTTCTCTGTGATATCCTTACTTTGCCAATATAAAGAACCTGCGAGTAGATTATGTAAGATTAAGATATTTTAACCAGGTGTTTGTCTATTCTAAAAACATGTGTTACTTTTACCTCAAAGAAATGTGAGTCAGACGGCGAGAGATCTGCACATAGCGAAGTGAGAGCTGAAGCGTTACTGAGACTGCGGACTAAGCCTGATGAATCGTTTGTTCTGTAACAAATACGATTGTAATTCACCTTTATCGTCTCAGTAACAGAAACATATATATTAGAAAATCCAACTTGTTACAAGTTTACAGATAAAAGCAATGTCTTAGAGAAAATTACCATATCTGATATAAGAGACGAATGATTTTTGATGAAAATGCGCGATTGACGTAGGATTTATTTTTGTTTTGTCTTACGTATTAACTCCGATAGTTCATTGGCACGGGGAGTGACAAGTTGGCAAGTTCACAGTCACCTTAGTGACGTCTTGTGATGAAACCTTGGAACACGATTCTCTTCAAAAAAATCAACTATGGTCCAATCACTAAATTCAAATTTTTACCTTTTGTTGGAGTACTCGGGCTATTTGGCATGTCAGGAACAGATGTATTGTTATGTTCGAAGTGTCAAATCAAGTGCTGTTTATTTTGTTCATTCTATACAAACGTAAAATACGAATATATTTGGTACTTTGTTTTTCGGGATAATTTACCGGTATATTTCCATACTCTTCTTTATATCGAGCTATACTCGTATCTCTCTAAATGACGTAGTTTTGGAGACCAGCCAGTAATTTGTCATTGAAGTGTAGTACGGGGAGGTATTTGTGAACTAGGAATTTGAGGATATACGCGTTTTATCATGTTTATTATAAATTTTTTCTCGATTTAGAAGTTTTGAATGAAAATGTAACCCAAACATGTAGGTATCGGCAGTTGTGTGCAACGAAATCTATACTTTAGACAACTGTTTCAAACGGGGAAAACCACCAATTTGTTCGTGGTTAACTTTAATCATTTAAACATTCGTTAAAGCTAAAGCATAACATTTGGTAATTAATACGATGTGGTAAATAAAGGTCACTCACTGTCTTTACGTCGACTTTGAAAAGAAGCCAAATCAGTTTTAAAACTACTTAGATCTCAGTTATTAAAATGTTCTGTGTACTATTGTAATTGAGGTAGTTATTTACCCTTAATACGAAAGTAGTACAAACAGGTACGTACAGGTTAGAGTTACAATTGCCAGGTAGCGATATGGCAGGGCTGGTCCAGGGCAGATGGTCGGAGCCGTTGGTCTGCTGGAAGCCAATGTTGCGGGTGACGGCGCCGCTGCTCAGCGAACCCGTCGAGCCCCTGGGGCTTGCGGCCCCGGGGGACGGCTCCCGCATCTGGCTGAACAGGTCTGTCACCTGCAATTGTCATTAAATGTTATGTTTCTGTGGTTTATTAAGATTGAAACAATAGACAGGTTTGCAGAATAAAGGCGAAATGTACTTTGTAATTATAGTACGTACATTAACTTACAATTAAGACAGTCACTTTAGAGCATTATCTAAACCTTGATCACTAAATAACTAAAAACAGAAAAAAGTAATTTACGTCACCTTTTTTATAACAGTATTCAAAACATGGCAGTAGCCATCAATCACTTCTTGTCTTTATACAAAAACATACGTCATACAAACAATTACGTAACTTTAACCTTAATTCATCTTCTAAAATAAATATAACAATTTTATATACCCGTATACTATAGAGAATCTGTCCGCCTTTGGGTAAAGAACAAATGTAATCAATATTTTTATGTAACATCAAAGTAAGTAGCCTTGTATCTTTTTTATGTATCAAACCCAATACAAACGAGGAATAAAAAACTTAGGTACTCAGTAAGTTAAATAAAAAAGCTAGATTAAAAATACGCCCTAAACACTAAGCTCTAACTAGGGTAGTAACACAGCACGTCCTTGAGCCACATACCAACAACTAGACCAAGGCATACACGGGGTAAGAGTTTTTATAGTGCTATTTAATTACAAATGCTATCTTGTATACTTTGCGTTTCCAAATTATGCTCAACTTTTGTTTACAATTCAGATTTATTAACGTTATGTAACTCTATCAATGGTGGATGGTTATGGAGAGCAAACAGTCGTGGACATACGTGTCTAATGCATTGCTGACGATGTCACTACCCTTATCAATAGCTATTAGTACTCCGACACGTAATTAAAACCTTACACGTTGCAAAACGTTTTGGCTTTCAATAGCAAATTATTAATACATATACATACTATTATAATGTAGCGTAAACACACACTTCTTTGTTGCCTAAGATGTCAGCAATTACAGCATATTTTTGAATAATTATTTCTTTAATGAAAAGCCTTACACTTACGAGACGATTTAGGCTATATATTTTCACGCCATTATACTTAGGGGGTAAATATTTTGGATAAAAACCCTAATGTGGAAAAGAGACCATAAGTTGCTGCCAAGAATCAAGGAAGCAAGATCGCCAAGATTTGTAATGTCATGTCATTCTGACATTTGCAATTGATAATTTGACACATGTAAACAATAAAATACATTTTTCATAATTTTTTGCGGATGAAGTCGCACGGAAACAGCTAGTTTACTGTAAATGTCGATTTCAGAACTACGTTATTTAAACTAGAATTGTTTTGTTATGTGGGATATAGATGTACTTATGTACATTTTGTGAGATAAATAAGTGACATAGCAAAATGCACTGCTGCTTGACCTCTGACTGCAAATAGTACATACCTGAGGGCAAGGTGATCGCCTTTAATTACATTACAACAATCCCACGGCACATGCAAAGCCGGCAATTTATAATAGCAATTCTATTACAGCCTACCTTTTTTTGCGGTTCATTAAACCAGATTCTAATACTAATACTACGCTAAAGACGGCCCTTAGTAACTATTTAATAACCGAGTGTTTATCACTTAGCTTATGGACTGTCTTTTTGAACAAGAGATAATAATAACAATGAGAAAAAGGTTATTTTGTTAGTAAATATAATTTTCTAAACAAAAATATGTATAATTGTCTACTAAATCCACCTGCGCAAACAATTGTGTACAGTAAATAGTGTAATAGCAGTGCGTGCTGTACTCTTGCTTGGCCCTAATTGATCGACACAATACGACGTCCTTGGGGACCAATCATTGGGGTAGGGAAGGGACGCACTTTCATTCACATCGATAAAAAGTTAACATATCGATAAAATTACAAGATCTTTTAGAGAAAATTTTAAGTTAAATTTTAAGTGAAGAATAGCCAAGCACTTATTAGTAGTACATGTGAATATTATAAATTTTAGTTACTTAAGTATTTCGATAAAACATTTTTAAGGTAACATGGACATTTATGATAATTGTTAAAGCATTTAAGCAGGCACCTTGCCATTTTCGTACTCATCGTTTCATTTGATCTTTGTTTCTCGATGTTTCGCTAATGACAAACATAACTTAAACCCTAATATCGGACCCTGGACGATAAGTTTTTATAAAAAGTTGGTTTATGTTGTTGCTGACCCAAGGTATTGTATTAATAATTCACAAGTTAATTCACATAACATGCAAAATTAATAGTTATCGGGTTATCCTTGAACCTTGAACTCTAAACCTCAAGGTTTTTAACCTAAGACATTTTAAAATCACACGTATTTGTAAAAAAAAGTAACAATAGACGTACTATAAAACCATGCAATCATACGTAGATGGTTAATACAACATGAGGATGTAGGTTCAAATGAGACAAGTTAGTTAATTAAACAATCTGCAACAACAAAAACAAGTTAATCTGAAAACCAACGACAACAATTACCAAATGTTTGACGTTTATAGCTGATGTATCGGAATGGGAACCGAACAATGGCTTAGTCGGTATCATCGCACACGATCTGTTGAAAATACAACATAATATTTATAACTGCACTACGGTTTAACGAGGTTTAGGCTAAGTGCCATCTGCGCTCTGCCACCTCAAGCCCGGTGAATCTGTAAATGCCTCTTCAAGGCAAACAGTGGCCATTCAGTCACAAAAAAAAATCCACTACGGAAAAAGACAACATTCACTCCGAAAACGGTGCGTGAATAATAACTAACAGATACTTGAAAAATGTTAAGCATCTATCTAAATTTTAAATATAAATAATATAGAGAAGTACGTTTCTAAATATCAATAGATTTTGCTACTTTAAGGGTGGGTTGCATCATATCGCCGGTTATCGTAAAAGTTATAGTTATAGTTAATAGGGTTACAAGTGCAAAAACATATTTTCACAGAGGTTTTATGTGTTTTTCGTTTTTACAATGGAAACATTTAAACCTGAATGTCACTAAAGTGTCAAGTTGGTGTCAAAAATGACATTTACGTAAATTAAAATGTTTGGAAATTCATGTTTCGCCGATTATATTTATGTATCATACACATGGTATTTTATAGTGACATAAATTTTTGCCCACGGAGATGGAAAAAATGGAAAACTCTTGTGAAAATAAACTAGTTTGGGCCATTATTGAAACTGTAATTACTTTACTACTCAAATATGTAGCGCCAAAAATGAAGCAATAAAATTATACAAATATAAATGCATCTTATTTATTTTCCATATTATAAATTGTCTTGTTAATGCATATTATAAATTGTCCATTTATGGAGGACATTTTTTTAAATAAGAGAAAAGGGACAAGCGCTGTTGCTATGGCCTTAGACACTCGAAATTTGTCCAAACTGAATGTTTGGCCGAATTTCGAGTTCCATCTTGGAAATCCATTATTTCCGAGCACGCAAGACTTTATTCTTCTGGATTACGTATAGGATCATAGTAGAGATTTTCTTTTTCCATTACTTTTTCCATTATTTGTACTTTTGAAGATAAGAGCTTGTGACAGTTGACACTACCGAACTGACACTAACCGTAACGCTAACTATAACCGCCCAAAATCGGGCGGTTATGATTAGTGTCAAATATGACGTCATTTTGACCTGCGCAAAACTGGTGTAGCGAATATCATGAACATCCGTAGACGTAACCATCGGGAATGTGCTGGTTAAGGTTTATAGTTAGTTAATGTAACTCACACTTAGTAAATTTTAAGGTTATTCCAAATATTACCGTCACAAATAATTTTAACTTTAACGGTAACCGGCGATATGGTGCAACTCACCCTAAATGATTAAATATCCATTGACAAAAAACTTGGATTTAGTTTTTTTCCGATAAAATTATCATATTATTGTACTCATTATTGACGTCCTGGTTTAAATACATAAACATATTAAGGTGATTGAAGTTGGAACAACAACGTTAAGATTAACATAAATATTACCATATTTCGATACGTCTTAAGGAAGTCACATGTTACAAGTTGAATGCGTGTTACCTACAGCGTTCATGATGCTTTACATCTGATTTTTGGTCATTTTATTAATCTGAACAAATAATGGCAGGAACTAGTGACGTCTTAGAAAATTGACATAGTAATTTTTCAAATGTTTGTTTTGTTTTTTTCTTAACGCTAGCTACAAGTATTTGCACTTCCAATCTCCGCCCCTCCCCTCACAAGTTATTGAACGTGAAAGCTCTACTTGAGCAACAGCTAAGGTAAAAGGTCTGTACTTCTGCAGGCTTTTATCTTACACTCAGACACGGTATTGTTAATTTTATATCGGAAAACACGGTAAAAACATACTTATGTGGTCCCCTACTGCATCTACTATCACATACTGTGATTAGTGTAAATTATAATAAAGAAATAATTACAGGACAGTTAAAAAACCATTTAAAACAAACTTATAACCTCTTAAGAGCAAATCACTTAGCAAATATTTAATACCGTGTTACAATACACATTGTTAAATGTAAGTCGTTAAGTTTCCACGCCAGACTCAATGGTTTCACTCTTTTTCACGTATTTATAATTATCATTGTCTTTTATGTTGACCATGCGAGCAATTGACGAAGATAATTACCTCTGTTCGTAAAAACATCTACTCGTATAAGGAAGAGTTTGAAAATCTGTAAAACGTATTTCCTACGAAAATGAAAATTGTTATATCTAAATAATTTGTTGTTTTCTTTTGGATTCAGAATTTGCTCAAATAAAAAGTAAACATCGTTATCATTGGCCATAGCTAACATTTAAATATATCCTGAAGATTCGCTGATTCCGATATAATTTAGAGTTGATAATTGTTCTTTGTTAGATTTAAAAATAAAAACCGCAACGTAATTATATGTAACTTCATTTTAGTTCCATTGTTCCGTACGATACTATATGTTTATATTCTGCAGCAATGTGTGCCAGCCATGTGTTTAAATATGATGATAACCGTAGCTTACCGTGTATTAACAATGTTTTTGCATAAATGCCTTTTTACTCAATTAAAATGCGTAATACCAAGCGTATTTTTAAATCGTGTTGTTTAGGAAACAATCTAAGATATAACCCAAACTAAGACATTGGGATTTACAAAGTTTCACAAACAAAAATAGTATTAACCGAAACCGGCTCGAAGGACCAACGTTTAAACATGATGATGATGATTTACAGGGATTTGTCCACAGATATATACTAACTTACTAGGTTAACTGGTTTACTTATTGACTTTTAAAGTTAAGTCATCTGTCGTTTTAGAAACTCTCTAATTATCGTTTAAAAGGGCGTGAAAGCTTTCAAATAGTTCGTTAATTACTTACATGTTTATAATGATAAAATTGATAGCAATAATTATAATGATTACGAAGTAAACCTTATTTCTTGAACCTCCTTGCGTAACATTTCAGACGTGCCATCAGATAAAGCAGCGCTATAAACACTATCGCAAAGCAAACTAAGGTATTTAGGACGATAGTTGCGAGGTGTTTACGATAATTTTGTTGTGTTAGTGTAAACGTCATTTCGATTAGGCTTCTTGAGTAATAAAATTAAGATTTGCATTGCAGTCGCATGACAATAGACAACAAACACTGTTCTCTCTATGACCACTCTGATAGTTAGAAATTTTCGTTCGAATATTATGACAATGATTCAAAACCGAATGTGAATTTTAAATAGACCAGACTTATCAAATTATAAACTTATTTTTCTTTAAATCGAATTTCTTCCTATTCTTTGTAAAAAAAGAAACTTATGTACTTTCGGATCATGATTTATCTATATTATTCCTATCTATTCACCATCATAATACAAGTGATTCAAAAATACATTCACAATATAAGATTTTAGAGCTAAATGTGGGAGTGCATAAAACAGAATGATATTTAGAGCACCTTGTTGTTTGTGTATGTTTGAATCTGCATAACATATACAAAAACACAGTTATCTCTATACTACCAAAGCGTATGAGAGGGATGTAAATATGTTTATATATGTTACGACAGTGTAAACCCACGGTAATGTTTGAAAAGCGTTTCTGGGAAATGCTTGGCCTGTGTCCAACATCCGCTAGTGTTTGTGCATCAGTTCTGTGGGCGAGGCGATTGATTCAGTTTTACGTAACGTTCACACGGCAGCCGCATGCCCGCTCTGCTCTGTACCGTGTTATGAGATGTTTGCTCATCTTACAACCATTGTCTCACAAGAACGTTTGTTATTGATAATAAATCATTGATCTCTATACTAAATGGATCGGCGGTTGCTTTGAAATTACAGATTTTGCTTTGTTCAAACTTAAACGCATCGTCTGTTATAATACCTACAAATTTTTCATTACTAGAGTAAGAACATTTTTCAGTTTCAATAAGTCCGCTGTCAGCAGACCATTAGCAAAGATCTAGCCATAGACCGTTTCTCTTACTTTTTTATTTGTCCCATTTCTATACTGAATAGGGCATTTGTACAGCGAGCAATAGACAATAACCTTCAATCGAGTGACATCAGGCTTGTTTATCATTACCATTCAATAAAATAACGCCTAACAGGCAATTGATTCATGACAACCTCGCAACTAGCAGTGTACGAAGCACTCAACAAAAACACAAACACAATCCTAGCTGAAGCATAAATAAGGAAAACACATGCGAAAACACGAGCCGCTTCCCATTAAGTAGTTTCGACTTATATCCGTAAATAATGTTTAAGTAAATACATAAATAAAATTTACTTATGTTTTTAATAAATATGCAAATGTATGTAAAACATTTTACCTGACGTAAACGTCATATATGGAATAAAGAACTTACGCATTTTAGCACATAGGCAGATGAACGTTTAATTTTTTTTCTCCGATATTGATTGGTTGCTAGCAGTGTGTGGTTATTCCGGAAGTAAATTTGAATCTAATGATGATTTATCTTATCTGCAATTATCTTCAGTCTTTTAGGTGTTAATGACAAAAACAATTGACACAATTTATTTGGACAATTAACGATTATACAAACGGTTTGTTGCAATACAAGTGCACAAATGCTAAGCTAATATCTACCTACTAGCTCATACTCTAGTCTCATAGTCTATGGGCTTCGTGATAGGGTTTCCTAGGAATGTATCTATCAAAAATAGATACGACTTTCATGGCGAGATTCAGAGTTGTTTTATTGTTATTTGTTTAATGTATTGATACTTTACTAAGGCTCTCCATACACGACTCTGTGCCACTTAAATTAGCTGTTCTAATTACCATAATTATACAAAGAGTTATATAACTCTTGGTCTCCATACAATAACCTTGAATCTGTATTGACATTGATGAACCGGTTCTTTTATAAGCAGAGTTTAAATTATTTGTTGTTACCAGGAAAGTGGAAAACGCAACGAATAGTCATTATCATTTTGTCAGAGTGAAACAGATAATTTTTCCGACGATTGTTGATCACGTTTGGTAATTCAAAAACGATCTCTATGTCTGCTTTATTAGTTACAAAACATGCGATTTTTTAATTAATCATTGTCAATTTCAATATTTGTAGTCAAATATTTAAAACACTACATTGCATTCGATAGATATATTTTATAAAATAATATAAATATTATAACTCACCTCAAGAGAAATCCGTTATAATTTATAAATACGCGCACTAACGTCTTAATAATAAAATATGTTTTCTAGTAATAAAAGCATTCAAAATGTTTATCACTGTGGAAATCAATTATTCATGGTATGATTTCTGATTTATTACACGTAAGAATGAAAGTTTATATAGGATTCAAATTGGATATTCGTAAACAGATACACGCTACTCCGAAGTCATTATGCCAAATGTTTATCCACTTTTACTAACACTGCCAACACATTCTTGAGTAGTTATACACCCGAATAGTTTTTATAACAAATAAAAGTCAATACTGTTCAATATATGGAAATATAACAAGTCCATTTCACACGCAAACAATATTAGCAGAGCTCCGAACCAAAATTCTAGGTTAGAAAATTGCGCAGCACGAAACACAACTGCGCTCTGCGTTAGCGGCGTCCATACTGAATTTAACATAGCGTTACACAAAATATTATGATGTGCCAAGTTTCTTTTCAATTTTGATTATTATTCTACTATCAAATAGTCCACCAATTTTGTTTACACAGCTGACTGTCACAGAATTATGGCGAAGAGCTGTTGATATTTACAGACATGTTGCCGACTAAACAAAAATACAAATATTAAGCTATTCCAGTAACTAATAGACGCCCAAATAAATGAAAATCAAATATCCAATATTTGTTTCCAACACGCGAATTCGTCAATGTTAATATTGTAATCAGTAAATCTAGAACAAATATTTAAAAACGGCGCCAAAATAACACAGCACTACAAAAGAAGAACAGGGAACTTTTTTTAAGTGTCACTAGCAATCGCGGGAACGTAACTGAAACTGGCCGATATTCGAATATGTTCTAATTTTAAAATCGCGCCAAGGTTCCGGACGGTGGCGCATACGGAGGCAAATAAACAATGTGACATTGCATTGTTCTTGTCGATGAATATTCAAATCGGTGCCATAACAGCTAGCCAGTGACAACTTAATTTTCCACAACTTAAAAAAAACAGAAAAGTTCAATTTTTGTCATCAATATAGAAATGTGCTCACTTCAAAGTATTCGTTTATTTTGCACGAAATTAAAAGTGATTTCTAAGACAGGAATTTTATACCTTGAAGGATAATAAGAAAGTAAATAATTTTATACTATTCTTCCTATAATGTGATAAGGTCGAGGAAAAGAGGTGAACTTTAATAAATTATTTCGAGGCGACTGACTTGTCAATATCTCGCCGAAAGCCGGAAACACTTTCATTAATTTACGCGTAAATCTTACATTCATTTTCCATGACTAGTATTACAAATTGGAAGTAAAGTTGCCATAGCAACTAGCATTATCTACATCGATAAGCATACTATCGGTACATCACTAAATCTGTGATGTATATGACACTGATGAATTATTATATTAACTCTGCCACACCTCTGCTCCCAGGCATATTTATTTTAATGACGTCACGCCAATATTAACTCATTAATTTCTGTTTTAAAAAACTATTAACGACCGGCGACACAATTATGGACAGAATATATCATATTTTTTATGACAGGGGACGTCAAACATGCTGATAGTTCAGCTAACATAAAAAATATTGCGTTCTTAAGAATAATTGCGTAACCTTTGTCCTTTGCAGTTATAAAATCAAGTTTCATTTAACTTTACATCTTGGTAAATACCGTAGTTATCTTTAAGATCAACAATAAATTAAAAAAGACAAGAATTAACATTAACTTGGTACTATCATACGCGATAGACCGGTTATCGTTTACGTGTGAAAAATGTTAATCGAAAAAAACTTATAACGTAAAATTAAATGCAAATGATAAATTAATATTATGCTTTTTAAAAAGGCACCTCAGAATATTACTTAAATTTTTAAAGGTAATTTAATTTCGAAAGATAAAATCCGACTTTACAAAGCAGCTAAACATCACACTTATTTTAATTTATTTGTATTTTCACTTCATGTATTATGGCATTTACCTCAAGAACAGTATTGGCTCTGAATAGATAGCACTGCAGGAGTCCCTCCTTCTCATTGAGCAGGATGTAGAACAACTCCTCCGGCCGGCCCGGCACTTGACTGGCCCTGGACAAAAGAACCATCACATAAGTCCAATCAATTCATTCTTGAATTTTTTTACTTGTCCGTCGCTTTTGTGTATCGACTGTAAGAGTGGGTCTCATACCTCAGTATATCGACGAGGCGGTGTATGATGACGGGCTCGAAGTTGCCGTTGTAAGCCTTGAGACAGCTATCCTCCACCGTTAGGCTCAACTGTACAGTCGGAGTTAATAATTATTATTATAGATTGAAAAGCAGTTAATTGCCTACGGAATTCCAAAAGTAGTCGTAGTTTACTTTATCCCTAATGCCTGTGGCCCGTATCTCCCGCAGCAGCCAGGGCAGCATGGAGTTGGAGAAGCGGCGGTCCATGGCCGTGTAGCCCAGGTACGTCACCGACGTCAGCTTCGTCTTCATCGTCTGCAAGACGACGTGTGTTTTTTACACAAGGTAAAATGTGACTATTGTAGGATTAAGTCAAGCTCTACATTCGTGGAAATAGAATACTTGGAAATTGCTAGATATCTTTTCGAACCAAAATTACAAAGAATATAGATCGCGGAAATTACATCAAATCAAAAAGCGGTTGACTTACAATTAGGGTGAAAAACAAAATAAACGTCTCATTAAAATGCTAAGCAACTTTTACATCTAATCAGACATGATGACAGACTAGCTTTCGCCCGCAACTCCGTCCGCGTAGAATTAAAAAAACAAAATTGAGTAGCCTATGTGTTCTTCCAGACTATCATCTACATCTATACCAAATTTCATCCTGTTCCGTTCAGCCGTTTAGGCTACAAACTCTAACATCCATCCATCTAAACTTTCGCATTTATTATATTAGTATTATATGAAGTATGATTATACCTATAAGGTAAAACAGTAAATAGCTAAGATTATAGAAGTAATTTATTCAATAGCCACTTGTAACGGCTACACCATAATATTTCTGCGCGCGCACGAAGTCGCATCACGATTTGACGCGACAATATTAAATATGTAACTATGCTGTTATCTAACTTAGAGCACAATACACTACTAGGTTTTAGATTCAATAGTAATTTAGTTTTCCTTTACGTTTTAATACTTTTGTAAGTGTATCTAGTTTCGGTTGTTGGTGTAACATTCACTGGTGACGCTCTCCGCCTAATTAAAACAACAAATTATTAATGCACAAAGTGTTACTGTTTTCAAAATGAAAAACCTGTACAAAATATTGCTATCCTTGTTTTTGCAAAGCGAATGAGAGAGATGGAACATCTATTAATACTCGAATATTGGAATATGTTTTTACTTCATCTAAGTGTGTTCTTGCACGAAGCTTTTTTGAACTTAAGCTTTTGGTGAGTGGAAGTTAGTATGACAGTAAAAAATATCGACATTAAACCAGTTTACGAATCAACTAATCCAGTTTTTTATCAGTATATCAAATGGCGTCTACTATTTTACGTACGTCATAGAAATATTAATTAGAATATAGGTAACCATTACATAATTACAGGTTAACTGGTAAAAAGATAAATCATTTAGATATAAGTCGAACTTCCTTGAATTTGGGTTTTTTGTATTTTTGACCTCCGCATCGTATGTGCGAAATAAAAATAAAATGTAGTAGCTAAGTGCTCTCTCTATTCTCTGTCAAATTTCATGCAGATCCGTTGTTCCCATTTATGATTAGTAAGATTTTTTTTTATAAAACCTTTGATAATTAACTGATAAGTTGATGTTTGTATTTTGTACAGGTATCCCGGGCAACGGGCGCAACATCGATGACTCACTTCGATAAAAGCTTTTGTAAAACGTTTCATGAGAAATTCAAATCAACCAACTGTAAGGGTCGCCATGTCTAGACTACTTTCATTGACCGACTTCCCAAAAGAAGGAGGTATTCAATTCGACGGTATATTTCTTTTTTTTTTTTTTTTTTTTTTTTTTTTTTT